GGTCCAACTCCAGAGATTGCGGAAGGCGAGAGCGAGGGTGACACCGAGTGGTCGTAAAGTGGATAGAAATGGTTACCTTTAATTCGCAAACTTGGAGTGAACGAATTGGTGTGAGGGAATAGAGAGGGCTATTGTAGAAAGCTGTACTGTTAGGAACCGCCATGGATCTCGGAAAGGTGCTTGAGGCTTATGACTGTGGGCTGCAGTTATCAAGAAGGAAAGGGAGAGGAAAAGAAAGAAAGAGAGGGAGAGAGAGCGAGAGAGAAGAGAGAGAGGAGAGAGAGAGAGAGAGAGAGAGAGGAGAGAGAGAGAAGAGAGAAGAGAGAGAGAGAGAGAGAGAGAGAGAGAGAGAGAGAAGAGAGAGAGAGAGAGAGAGAGAGAGAGAGAGAGGAGAGAGAGAGAGAGAGAGAGAGAGAGAGAGAGAAGAGAGAGAGAGAGAGAGAGAGAGAGAGAGAGAGAGAGAGAGAGAGAGAAAGAGAAAGAAGAGAGAGAAAGAGAAAGAGAAAGAGAGAAAGAGAGAGAGAGAGAGAGAGGAGAGAGAGAGAGAGAGGAGAGAGAGAGAGAGAGAGAGAGAGAGAGAGAGAGAGAGAGAGAAGAGAGAGAGAGAGAGAGAGAGAGAGAGAGAGAGAGAGAGAGAGAGAGAGAGAGAGAGAGAGAGAGAAGAGAGAGAGAGAGGAGAGAGAGAGAGAGAGAGAGAGAGAGAGAGAGAGAGAGGAGAGAGAAAGAGAGAGAGAAGAGAAAGAAGAAAGAGAAGAGAGAGAGAGAGGAGAGAGAAGAGAGAGAGAGAGAGAGAGAGAGAGAGAGAGAGAGAGAGAGAGAGAGAGAGAGAGAGAGAGGAGAGAAAGAGAGAGAGAGAGAGAGAGAGAGAGAGAGAGAGAGAGAGAGAGAGAGAGAGAGAGAGAGAGAGAGAGAGAGAGAGAGAGAGAAGAGAGAGAAAGAGAAAGAGAAGAGAGAGAGAGAGAAAGAGAAAGAGAAAGAGAGAGGGAGAGAGGGGGAGAGAGACAGCACACCGATAACAATAATAATAACACTCATGATGAATAGAAACTCCTGTAGAATTCACAAATGCAACTGATCGATACATCAATTATAATTCATAATTCGCAGAATATTAAGGATTCTATGCCACGGTTCAGGGCTGATACATACGTCAAAATTCACTGAGAACGGCATCACCAAAACCAACAATTAATACGAATAACAATCCTAATAACAATGATAATTATGATAATAATAATAATATTCATAATAATTATAACTGCAATATTAACTACATCAATAATAATAATAATTATAAATTTCCTTATGACATGGCTACAATCTCGGCAACCATTTAGGTATAAGAGCACTCAATAACTATACCCTCTGCGTACATCTATACCATGCGAAGATACTGAAGTCTGACCAGAAATAGGCCAATTTGAGAAAGAAAACGATTTTTGAATGAAACAGGAATCCATATACAGAGAATGGGGTAATTCACAGGACAGACTTAGTTAGATTATCCCAAAATTTCAGAGATATTCGGGATATGTTTATCTACTTTACATTTTAACATTTTTCAAAGTTTCGCATATTAATGGACTGTGACGTTCTTTGTAAAACCATAAAAATTAAAGCATCAACGTACTGTATGTTTTTTATACTGAGCTACATCACTGATGTTCAGAATGCATTAATATATTTCTTTTTTTTCTATGATATGACTTTGCAAATCTTAACTTTTCGTATTCTCACACACGCTTGCCTTACAATGCCCTGGTTCTCTTTTCTCTCAACAATAACGAAATTATTTCAACCTCTCTCCCTCAAATACATAAATAAACAAATAAACAAATAAAAATAACTATAAAATCGAGGACTCTCCCTCAAGGACTCTCCCTCAAGTAAATAAATAAATAAATAAAAAATAACTATAAAATCGAGGACTCTCCCTCAGGTAAATAAATAAAAAAATAAAATAACAATAAAATCGAGGACTCTCCCTCAAGTAAATAAATAAACAAATAAAAAATAACCATAAAATCGAGGACTCTCCCTCAAGTAAATAAATAAATAAATAAACAGATAAAAAATAAATATAAAATCGAGGGCCCATAAACAGTATTCAATTTCCTTGGTCATGCGCATTTTCTCGCCAGGACTGCTACATGATATCAAAAAGTTATGTATCTTATTTATATACTTAGCAAGATAATCCGTTCATATCTGATTCATTCCCGTGGCATGCGCTATCATTTTTTTTTTTTTTTTATAAATGTTTTCATCTCATATTTTAGTCGGTTATCTATTTTTGTCTATTATATACTTATTGGCAAGACATAATAATCCCTTTTTGCATAATAATGAAAAAGTATAGCAATGATAATCTTTACGATCACATTGATAATGATAATATTTGTGCAGATAACATCTACGTACGAAAATAAACGATTTATTTCGAAAATAAATCTATGAATTCCGTCAACTATAACGACAACGATACAAATAATAATAACAACATCGACGCTGATGATGACGATGACGATATTAATAATATTAATGATGATGACAATGACGACGATGGTAATGATGTAGAAAACACTAACAAATCTAAATCGAAGGAAATTCATGAAAAAAAACAGCAACAACAGGAATTCCACGACACGCAAAATTCACCACAATATTTTTCGCACTCGCACAGAGGGCGCTCAAGCCACACCACAACGGGGATCACTCACGCTGCCGAGAAGGGAGGCTGCAGTTGCTCGCTGAGAAGGTCGTCTACCCTCGTTCGTACGCCGTTCTTCTTCTTCTTCTCTTCTTCTTCTTCTTCTCTTCTTCTCTTCTTCTTCTTCTTCTTCTTCTTCTTCTTCTTCTTCTTCTTCTTCTTCGTCTTCTTCTTCTTCTCCTCCTCCTCCTCTTTCTTATATTCTTCTTTGTCTTTTGTTTTCTCCTTCTCTTTCGGCGCTGTTCTGCTTTCCCCATTTCTTCTTTTTCTCTTTACATTCTATCCTCTCCTTTCTGATTCTTCTATTTGTATTTTTTTTTCCCTTTCTGTCATTCCCTCTGGTTCTTGTCTTCTTTCTGCCTTCATTTCTATCCTTCCTGTTCTGATTCTCACCTTCTAACATCTTTTATCTCTATCCTTCCTTATGATTCCCACTCTTTCACTTTTACCACATATTCTTATTCAAATTTTCCTCGCCCCTCCTCTTTTAATGTTATTTTCCATAAGAAAGAAAACTCAAGAAGACTTTTCACATGCAAGTTCTGCACATGAGAGTAGCACTACCCCACAACTAGACTTGATGCCGGGCGTACACTATAACTATTCACAATAATGAGTAACAGTAGCAGAAATGATAATTATAGTAATAACCAAATTCATGATGACGACAATGAAAATTATGATAATTGAAGATGGTGGTAATAATAACAATGACGACGATAATGGAAGATGGTAATGTGATCGCGAAAAAATTGTTGGATACTGGACAGAGTGCCGCCTCTGGGGATCCGACCCTGGGCATCGTCTCACTAAACTCGCCTCTCTGTGCATGGAGTTTGAACGTTTTCATTATTCCCAGGTTTTTCCCAGCTTATACATACATACATACATACATACATACATACACACACACACACACACACACACACACACACACACACACACACACACACACACACACACACACATATATATATATATATATATATATATATATATATATATATATATATATATATATATATATATATATATAAGGATCTTTCAGATGTCAACTTAGACCTCTGCTAGCCCTTGCTTTTTATCAAACTTTCTAAGACAATATTAGGAGATTCCTTAACAGAGCCTCTCAACACGTGACTGGAAAATCGCGTTTTCTATGATAAATCACTTCTCTACATCTTGTTATAATTTCTATTCTTTCCAAAATTTCGATTAAAAAATCCATCTAACCAGATGACCCATAATATGTGTATGTAACAACAAATTTCTATTACTCTTGACTAACACTTATTTAACCCTGTGCACTATATTTAGCAAACATATTCAGTAAACGTATTTAATAATTCCATGTTACTGCTTATTGCAAGATGACTTTTGCGCTCCTTAAAATTCTAGAATGTTGATTTAGTTTCTCCAACATCCATCTTAAGGTTTGTTTCCTCTTTCTCCTGCGTCATCTAACTTACGAAATACTCATGTTCTATTTCATTTTCATGCACTTCATAAATAACCTTTATTTGTATTCTCATTCTTGAAGATCGTCCCTCTGAATTCCAATGCATGGAATTCTTCCAAAGTCTTCACGTTGGCCTATATTCTACACCCTTTCGAGATTATATGCTGTAGCTTTTGTGGTATATCACTGGGTATGACGGTATCATCAGCGTAATCTCATATCCGTTAGGTTAACATCGTGAGTCTGCCTTATCAACCATTCGGAGTAGATAAGACAGCGTAATAATGATAATTATGATGATGGTAATGACAACAACGATGATAATATCATCATCAATAATAACAATAATAATCTTTAATAATAATAATAATATATAAATAATAATAATAATAATAATAACAATGATAATGACAAAGAAGCAATGCAGCAACTATATACATCTATCACTAAAAAAGCCATGCAACCTCAAGCAACATTGCATCTGCAGTTGTTAGTAGATCGCAGCGACCCGACGAACTACCAAGACTGTTGCAAGCTTCCACATCATCTGTTACAGCTCCATCTATGCAACACTGCAGAAGTAAGGGAGGAGAGTGACGTAGCCCCGTCCTCCGTCCACAGGAACTTTCCTTAAGGCTACGGGCTTACTCATTCTTTGGTTGTTTATACTCCTTTAACGGCGTGAAAAAGGAAGAAGGAAAAATGATTTGTTTACTCATGCCTTACTTACTTACTCACCGACGGTTGAATGCGAAACCGAGGTGACAGACTGAGATGGGTAAGGTTTAGAGTTATGCTTTTTTGCGAGATAACATGAATAAAAAGACTTACTCATGATGAGTGATGGTGAGTTTGATTATTTACAGAGAGGCGAGTCTTGAGGCGTCGACAGAGGGCCACTTGCTTAGGGACGTGAGATACACCCGATAAAGGAGTGTGAAGAGAGGAAGGAGAGGAAGAAAGGGAGTAGGCAAGAGAAGGTGAAACAGAGACGCGCTGAGAATAACAGGGACTGTAGACGATGATAAATAAGAGTGCAGGAAACAAAGAAGGACAACAAGTGCGGTTAAAGAACAGAGTGAGTGAGTGAGAAAGAGAGAGAGAAGGGTTGGGTTTCAGCGATGGTGTCAAGGGAGGTGCTGTCAGTGCAAGAAAGAAAGGGGGAAGGAGAGGGAATTAATGCGAATCAGAAATAGATGAAGAGACAGAGAGAGCGAGCAAGCGAGAGCTTATCTGCGGAAAATTGAAGGAAGAATAATATCTATAAGGTAGACAATAGACTGTTAGTCAAAACAACTGAGGGACAGGACAGGAGGAACAAAAAATGAGAAAAAAAAACAAGGAAAAGGAGTGGAAAAGGAGAAAGAGCTAGAGAGAGAGCGAAAGAGGAAGAGGGTACGGGGAGAGGTGTTCCCACGCTCCTCGAAAGGGCCCTTCGAAACCAAAGCTCTCCGCTCAAACACCGATCCTGAGGTCCCCGTTTATACAGGCTCCCCCGCAGGATACTTCCTCCACCCGTCGATGAGGAAGGAGTGGACGCGAATCCTTCTTCCACCACAGGCACACCGGGCCGAGGGAGAAAGGTGGGCAGGGTGTGTGGAGAAGGGGGAGGAAGGGTTAGTTACTGTAGGGGTACGAAGTGTGTGGCCGCTGCGTTTGGGAGTGGCGAGCTACGGAGGCAATGGCGTCCCAGGCACTGCCACATGACTGGACACCGTGGCTCTTCCTGGCGGGGACTGTGTGCTGGTGTCCTGGCCTTTTGCTCTGTTACGCCTTTACGTTTTTTTTTATGTCTACGTCCACTTTTAGCTGTAATTCCAAGTTTTCCTTCCGTTCGGGTGTGGATTTCCGAAAATGTCTTATCACTTGTGTGTGTTTTTTTTCCTACACACAGTTCACATTATCTCTATCTCACTGTCTCTGCAAACTGTTAGAAAAAAAAATAATAATGATTCATGCTGCATATATCCTGTATGCCGATTGCAACTGCCGAAACTAGAACTATTAAAAATGATTGACATCTTATCAATTCCCGCAAAGACCTCATCAGATGGGCGGTTCTCCCTGCCATTGCAACAACTGCAACGCGTTATCAATGATGCTTTGCAATCGCTGATCAATTATGCATTTCTTTCCCCGTGGTCACAGACGTGGCTCGCGTAGGTGATGCCGCGTTCCTCAACTTTCTCTCCCATCTCTATTTGTCTGGCTATTTCTATATTTGTCTGTGTGTTTGCTGGATTACTTGCACAGATCTTGTCATCAATATTCATATAGACGGTATGACGCTTATATCCTTGTGACTACCCCACCATATCCTATACACAATACGCATATTGGTCTATATGTATATACAGGTTTGCAGGAACATCGGTCTTACGGACTGCTAACAAATGGTTATCTTGCCTATATGAATATATATTCCCACTAATTTAGTTAACCCCAAAATCCCTAGACAATCTATTTTTTCTTCATTTTGCAACATCCAATAATACACAAGATCGCATTTTACATTTTCTCTTATAATGGACTCAATGAACACCTGTTGATTTAAACAAGATTACCATTTCTCCATAATATAAGTACGTTAAAATATTCCAAAACCAGTTACATGGAAAATATACTCGAATCTCATCTTTAAATATATATATATAGGTTTAAATTTATGCCTGGAAGTATACGATAGCATATAACTGGTTCTAAATATATATCTATATTTTATGTAAACATCAAAACGTTATTGAATTTGTCTGACCTGTAAATCGACCGATATAGGCCTACAAATCTACTAGTCTATATAAGGCCAACCCATCAGTGGTTTCGCCTCTTTGTCCTTTTTTTTGCACTCCAGGTATGGCATAAATAAGACAGAAGACATGACCTGCAGAATCTCCCCGCAAAAGGATGTATAAAGTAGCATTAAGCGTTACATTACCAGGATATTCATTTTCTCGCTACGGCCATGTGACACCCGTCGCCCCCTCCTCTGCCCTGGCCATATTATCTTTCCTAAACCTTGGAGGTTGCTTGCATTTGCCACGAGCAATGTACTTCTTGTATTTCCTTTTTTTCATCCGCATTTTATTTATTTTCACCTACATTTTCTTTGGATACGTTTAGAATACGTCACGTTTGGGTCATGCCGCCTCTCGCGCTTCCCTTCTCTGTCTGTAATTTACTTTCCACCGATTAAAATTCGCGTTCAAGTTGCCTTCGACACACGACATGACACACGACCTGCCACAGAGCCTTTCGTCTGATGAATCCTGCAAACACCGCCATCCATTTTGACAAGTGGATTCCTTCGTCCATCATCCTTCACCCTAAAGTATTCGCGAGGCACAGATCACGCAGTCCCCCCCCCCCTCCCCGTCCTTCCACCCCACTTCAACTTACCCAACACTATTCACACATCACGATACAATGAACGGACTTTCACATCCACAACGTATTCACCGACAAACTTATATATATAAAAACACACGCACAAAAACACACTGGTAAGACACAAGACACGCCGGAGTTCGCTTTGACAACTCCGACACAAACGACACTCGATGAATGAAAACAAAGAAACACTTCGGTCTCGACAATTATCTGCGACGAGAGTTATAATCGACTTAATGAAAACGCTCGCTAATGAAGGTCGACGGAGTGAAGCATCGCAACAGCGAGAACGTGAACAAAAATAAACAATGAATAGAATAGGGAATGTAGGCCGTTTCGAGAGAGAGAGAGAGAGAGAGAGAGAGAGAGAGAGAGAGAGAGAGAGAGAGAGAGAGAGAGAGAGAGAGAGAGAGAGAGAGAGAGAGAGAGAGAGAGAGAGAGAGAGAGAGAGAGGAGAGAGAAGAGAGAGAGAGATGAGAGTGATAGCCAGACCAGAAGACAGATAATATAGATAGATATATAGATGAGATAGTGAGTCTTGAGTCCACGCGCGTTTCTCCGGCGAGTCTCTGGCACACAGCAAAACGCACGCACGCACGCACGCAGAGGGCCCTCCTGGGTGCCCAAGCCCCTCAAACCCACACGCGCAGCCGAGCGTGACCTGCACACTACACGCTACAGGTGCAGGCCTGTTCGCACTGGCCGGGCAAGTTTGGACTGAAGAGCTCCACGCGCAGGCAAGGAGGCGGGGCGGCCGGGAGTGTGTTGCACCATAAGCCACCGTGCTCATCACAAGCATAATAGCCCCAGCCCGCTACCACAAGGGCGCCCTCATCTGCATTGTCACAGGTTGCACGCCCGCATCTCGCTCCGCTCCTCGGCATTCTTCAACGGCACGTCAACGCACCAACATATTCCGCATGTATATACGGCCAGTAAACGCACGTACATATTCTGCACATACGTACAAGTTCGTAGTGCAGAATCACAAATATACATTGCACGTACATGGATAGGCTAAGCAACCTTGCACACACGCACGCACACACGCACATTTTCACATTCACATAAACGTGTATCTACGCTATAAATTAGACTAAAAAATCTGACATAAATCACGCATTTTACAAACGAATCAAAACACGACTCGGCTCCATCACACGAACTGTATAAAAAGACGCAAATCTACACAAATTTGCAAGCTAATACAGACACGCTTGCATTTTTATGCACACCCGCACTATGACACATAACCAGATTCTATTGTCTTTTCCTCTGGATCTTTTTTATTGCGTTTTCTTCCTAACCTTGACTTTATTTCTCTTGGTCATCCTCTGCCAGACCATTTTCTTATTTACCTTAATTTCTTATTTATCTTCTTATTTACCTTCTACTTCTCTCGCTGTTTTGTCTCGTGATATTCTTTGCTCTCTTCTTCCTTTCTCTCTCCTCCTCCTCCCTCTAGCTTTGTTCCCTCTTTTATCTCCTTCTATCTGTCTCTGTTTCTCCTCTAAATACAGATATAACATTGAGTTTCTCTATTCCTCTCTCTTTCCCTCTTTACCCATCCATCTTTCTCTCCTCTCTCCCTTCTCCTGTCCCATTCTCCCTCCCCTTCTCTTCTTCTCCTCCCCTTCCCTCTTTCTTCCTCTCCTTCTTCTTACTCCTTCCTCTTCTCTTTTTCTTCCCCTCTTTTCCTTCTTTATCTCCCTCTCCCTTCTATATCTTCCTTCTCTCCTTCTATCCCTTCCTTCCTCTCTTCTTCTTCTTCTCCTCCCTTATCCTTCTCCCCCTCTTTCCCTCTTCCTCCTCCGCCACTGCCCTTCCCTCCGCCTCAAGTCAACCACAACAACTAAACCCCGATCATGTACAAGCTCCGCCGAACAGACTGCCGAGCACACGACGCCCGCCATTGCACCCACGTTGCACTTCATCAAAGCCCCCCCTCCCCCCCCCCCCCGGTATTGCACCATCGCAACATCCCCGATATCATTAACAGTTAAACTCAGCCGGCGACGAGAGGCTGGCGCATCTCCGGCGCAACAGGCAGCGAGGCAACAGGAGGCTGAGGTTGAGGCTGTCTGCGTTTCTCTATCTCTGTGTCTGTCTGTCTGTCTGGTTGTCTGTCTCTTGCTTTGTCTTTTTTTTCTCTGTGTCTGTCTGGTTATCTGTCTCTTACTTTCTTTATTTTTCTCTTCCTCTGTGTGTTTCTCTCTCTCTTACTTTTCTTTCTCTTTCTCTGTGTTTGTCTGTCTGTCTCTCTTACTTTCTTTTCTCTGCTCTTTCTCTGTGTCTGTCTGTCTCTCTCTTACTTTCTTCATTTCTCTTTTTCCGTCTCTCTCTGTCTCTGTCTCGCTTTTCTCTTTCCTCTCTGTCTCTGTCTCGCTTTTCTCTTTCCTCTCTGTCTCTGTCTCGTTGTTCTCTCTCTCCTCTCTCTCTCTCTCTCTCTAACTCCCCTTATCTCCCCATCTCCTCCTTTTTTCCGAGAACTCATTTGCAAACAGTCAGTCCGTCTGTCTGTCTGTCTCTGTCTCTATCTACCTCTCGTCATCACTCCCTATCATCTTCCCTTCCCTCTATCTCTCCTATTTCCCTTCCTCTCCCTCTTTCTCTCCGACCCCCCCCTCCTCCCCCTCGCAAACAGACCGACTGCCCGGCCGAATGGTATAATCGTGCTATTGTCAATCAACCTCGCAGCGACTTGCAAGATTGCGTAAGTCTGAGGCCTTTTCAGAGACTGGCTGCGTTGTCCACTTGACGCCGGTGTGGGTTACTGATCTCCTCTCCCTCCTCCTCCTCCTCCTTCTTCTTCTTCTTCTTCTTCTTTTCTACTTCTTCTATTTCTTCTCTTCTTCTATTTCTATTCTCTTCTCCTTCTCCTTCTCCTTCTTCTTCCTCCTCCTCCGACTTCTTTTCCTCCCTCCTCATTTCTCCTCACTCTCTTTCTCCTCCCCTTCTTACTACTCATTCTCCTCACTTTTACTGCTGCTACTACTACTACTCTACTACTTCTCCTTCTCTCTTTCTCTCCTACCCTCCTTCTCTCCTCCTCCTAATTTCTCTTTCTCTCCTCCTCCTTCCTTCATTCCTTCCTTCTTCCCTCTTTCCTCCTCCTCCTAATCACTTACATTCTTTATTAAGCAAACACACAAAAAGTCTAGACTTTCTTAGTACACAATTTTATCTAGCCACTGTATGCTCTAATTAAAGCAAACAGACAAAAGAAAATTACAGACTTTCTTCGCATGAAAAATATCTACTCTTTAGTTTCTAATTTCAAAAGCTCGAGACTTGTTTTTTTATTTTTTTATTGTCTTTTAATCTTGGCCATTCCCTCTTCACGCCAATCATCTTCACTATATCCTGTCAACACGTTATCATCTTCCACGTATGTGCTGAATATATTTGCTTTCTGGATCATACGTCACTGACACCCCCCCCCCAAAAAAAAAAGAATAAATAAATAAAGAAAAAAAATGAGGGGGGATATTTTAGGGTCAATGACTCATTTAACTGACTCAGGGGACAACTCATTAACTG